TGCCGCAATAAAAGACGCGATGATGGGCTCTGACCTACCGGCCGACTCATTGCAACACAATATCAGGAAGCCGACGTTCAGGAAAACGCCGTTTGTCCTTGTAGGGACTCTTTCGGGCCAACCGCCTGAAATTCAGCGTACTTCTCGCGCCTGTGATGTCACTGACAAAGAATTCCACCCTTGGCGAGACTGCGGGGAGTCTTGGGTTAATAATTGACAACGTGCGAGAATTTGTAGCGCACGATCCAGGTCCTCCCGTGGAAACGTGTCATTTCTAATGTCTGGATTGACTTCCAGTGAGTCAAATGGATGGAACAACGTGTCTATTTATATGGAATGATTACCTTTTGTCAGTGAGTAAGTGAGCTGGGAGTTTCCTGGTTTTTCGGAAAACAAATGATTGATCTCACTTTGTGAGTTTCTTTCTTCAGTTTGATCGTCATTTGATAGTTTGTTCATTAGTTGTGAGGTGGTGAGGTAGTGAGTCAGTTACTTTTGAGCAGGGGTATCAACCTGTTTTTTTTTTTTTGTTGTGGGCCACTTTGGAGTTACGGCTTCCCTCGGAGGGCCGGTGCAAAATCTCAACGTTATTTAGTACCCATGACAATTTGACATTTCTGTACAGTTTTCAGTAAATAATCATGATAGTTGACACACATGATTTGCTCCCGCCGGCCACATAAAATGATGTGGGGGGGCGGATCTGGCCCCCGGGCCTTGACTTTGAAACCTGTGCTTTAGAGCTTTTATTTAGTTTGTTAGTTGGTCGGTTCATCAGTTTGATGGTTAGTTTGTTTTTCAGTGTCCTGGCTACCACTGATGTAAGAGATTTGCGGTCACCATGACAACGACAGAGGCGCTCCCTGTAAGAAGCCAGCGGCACCGGTGGCATTTCATAACTGTTACTGCAAACCTCAGTTCTGACGGAGTATTGTTTTGAAGCTGCAAGAGTTGTTTGTGGAGTCAGCGTGATAACACGCAGTCAAGCCCTTTTGTGACGATTGTGACCCGACGCACGTCTCTTACCATAACATTCACTCCCTTGCCTCGAGCGACTCCAGTGACTCACCGCCATGACATCACCGCGGTGAGCTCACAGTCTCGCTAGATGGAGACGGGATTAAATCTGCTGATGCTGCTGCTGCTGCTGCTGCTGCTGCTGCTGTCACATGGGTCACCCGAGAGTTTAGGATTGACCACGAGGGGCTCAACAGATTAAGACGCGGGTCATGCTGTTGCTGCCAGTCACTTGAACTCTGCTCGTGACCCACGTTGTGTGCGTCAGTCAGTCAGTCAGTCAGTCAGTCGACAAAACAACACACTATAATATGATTTGTCAGCCTTGTATGAATTCATTGCAAAATAGATGAACGGTTTATCAAGCGTACAGTCACAGCATTCGTCACTACCGGCAGTAGAACCGCACGATCAGTATACGACAGATACAAATTAATTAAATATGACTATTTTAGTGGGGATTGCTTCTTGGGTTACACTTAGGCAAGTCTCCCTTGTATGTTTGGTAGAACATATACCTGAATGAATCGATTAGTTCATGGAAAAAAATATCAGGAAAATAAATCCAATTTAAAGAAATAAATTAATAACAATAATAATAATAATAATAATAAAAAGTTAGTACATTATTTTATTTTGTTCTAAATTTGTTCTGGATTTTAATGTCGTGACAAGTTGAATTAATGTTACTTTGTTTGTTAATAATATATATATATATATAAATTACAAATATATTGTTTATGAATCCCTCATCATTTTAAAAGATGTTAAATCAAAATAAACAATACAAACCATGAATATTATTTTATTAGATCAATTAATTAAAAAGGTTAATTTCAAATTATTTGCCACAATATATATTCTGGATTTATTATAAAAATAAATTTAAAAATTGAATAAATAAATGTTTTCAAAAATCACGAAAAAGATGACTATTTATCAACAGAACACATTTCAGCAGTAACGATTTACAAATGTTTTTTTTTAATTGAGTAAATCATGACGCAGGTTATATTTCCCTTTCCCCTTTCCTTTTTTTGGCAGCTGTTTGTGATGGGATCCTGTTTATGTACATTCCACAACTTAACACAGGTCATATTTGGTCATCTTCCACAGAGGAAAAAAAACAGCCTCAAGGTTGGAAATACCCCCCTCAGGCTTTTTTCTTTTTTGTAAAATTCACTACGCTTTCTTTGTGGCGGTGGGGGGAGGTGCATCTGCTACCATGGCAACCCTATCAACAATTGACTGGCCATATCCTTGACTTAGCCCTGAGAAGTGTGGTCAGGTGTCAGCAATAGGAATGTGACATATTTGGTGTCTAAAAAACATTTATCATTTCCAAACGAATATTCTGATTCAGATGTAATAAAAACGGGAGCAGTCACGCATTTCTGCATGACCGCACTGTCAAATCTCAGGTGCTAATTGTCTACGCGTGGATGCCATCACAGGTCTCAGCGTCAAAATTTAAGATTCTCACCGGACATTTGCCATGAAATATTCAGTCAATGTGACCTAGAAGAACGAGTGAAACAAAGCCAGCATGTTAGATCGCTGAAGCTTGAGTACTTTTGCTGCAACGTAGCGTAAATAACAAACGTGCTCCAGTCACTTGGTTTTTGGAATCTTAAGAAAAATTCAAGTTGCATCAAATCATGCAAAAACTGACGGATATTATTGAGCGACTCTGACACAAATGGCATCATCATATTTTCTTTTAAATCCCCCGAAAAAGACATTCGAAATTTTAATTCATGGTGAAGTCATGAAAAGTACACCTTTTTGGGATGCCAGCCGACAGTGAGAAAGGCGGCACAGAAACACTGCCGTCTGCTGATTGGTCAATGGGGAATGACCATGCTGTTCGCGCGGTCAATGTTTTGCTGAAAGAAGCGCAACAATGCAAAAGCAGAGTTTAATGTCTCGAGGGGTCGAATGAAAACTGAGATTTTCCTCATTGTTACTCATTATCTCTGATGGAAATGTTGATGTTGGCGCGTCAAGTCTGCATAGACGCCCTCCTTAATTAAATACTCTGCGTCACAGGAGCAGACTTGTGAGTAATGTGCTCACAAAAAGCTGCCAAATGCTGCACGGTAATTGCATTGTGAAATAAATGTACACAGCTACAGTGCTAATGAGATAATTGTGTAAGCGTGCCTTTGTGTAAAGTGTGTGAGTGCGTGCGTGTTACATGAGATTATGTGAGTGAGAGATTTTGAATGTTGTATGTGTGAGATTGCGCAACAGTGTGGGTGTAAGTGTGCATGTGAGAGTGTGGGGGTGTAAGTGACAACATGTGGGGGATTTCATGAGAAATGTTAAAAGTGTGTGAGAGAGTATGTGACAAAGACTACGAGAGATAAAGTGTGTGTCCGTGTTTTTCGTGTGAGAGGAACAGTGTGTAGTGTTAACGAGAAAGAGTGTGTGAGAGTGGAGCTAATAACAGTCTCGCTTTCTGGCAGACATTTTATTTCCTGTTCCGTTTTTATTGTCTGTCTGTCTTTTCTGTCACTTTTCCTCTCTCTCTCTCTCTCTCTCTCTCTCTCTCTCTCTCTCTCTCTCTCTCTCGCTCTCTCTCTCTCTCTCTCTCTCTCTCTCTCTCGCTCTCTCTCTCTCTCTCTCTCTCTCTCTCTCTCGCTCTCTCTCTCTCTCTCTCTCTCTCTCTCTCTCGCTCTCTCTGTCTCACTCGCTCTCACACACAGAGGCATGCACACCCACCCACACTATTTTGATCACATTCCAGCTGACTGACTTCAGGTCAGAAATGGGGCCGTCTGCATGAGTGTGTGTGTGTGTGTGTGTGTGTGTGTGTGTGTGTGTGTGTGTGTGTGTGTTTGCGCACAGCGGACGGTTGTGTCTGGGTCAGACGCCTGGCAGATAAGCAGAGTGGGAGAGGTTGCGTGTGCGCTTGGGTGTTGTCAGCGTACGAGCAAAAAAAAAGAAAAAAAAAGAAGGAAGTGGCACACATGAAAGAGAGCGTAACGTCAACCCCCCCGACCCGTGATGAGCCTGTCGGGCCTTCTCTTTGTTGAGAAGCCGATTACGGAGTTGAGTCCTGCCGCTGCGTCGCCTTCTGACTCGGGCCAGCCAGAGGAAACTGCTGCATAACGATAACAAGACGCAAGACAATGGCTTCCACAGGCGAAAACACACACACGCAGTGTGTATACGTTCGACAGCTTGAGCCAAAGGGGGGAGGGCGCGCGTTGCCAATAACTCTACCGACCTTTTGCGATTATTTATCAAATACGTAACAATCCGGACATACCAGCCACATTTCAGAGCGTTTTCCCTCCCTTTTTGGAAAAGGGGAAATTGGGGCTGCCTGCTGTTTGTTTGCCTGTTGATAAGCCACGTTTGGGTTTATTTTGGGCTCCTCAGAGGATTAGGTGGTTTTATTTTTATTTTTTTTGCCTGCTGGTTTGGAATTTTGGTTTTAGATTTGTTGCCAAAAATGTGACATCCCCAGCTAACAATACATAGTTTGTAATGTACTTGTTTGTAATGTATGTTCATTGTAATACCTACTCATTTTTAAGCTAATAAAATAAAGTTAACGATTTACTGATTATATTTTTTTCCAAACACTATGACTTATCATGTACTGTGTACTTGGGTTTTCAAATAAAATAAATGACTAGATAATTACTAAATCAATTTTATGAGTTTGTATCTATTGTTAAAAGTTATTTATTTCTGTATTTATCTGAGAGGATGAACGGGTTCTTTTTTCTTCCTCACGGTGCCTGACAACTAAAATTTGACTGATGGGCCGATGGCGCCTCTGTGTGTCAGATAATTGAACTACAGCTGGGCGACTGTTTAATTTTGTTGTGATCGTTGACTGTGCGTCAAGTTTCCGTCGTGATTGTCACATACCAGAAACGGTGTCATAATTTATGACGCCGATCACGTCGAATGGCCTTGTCCGATTGTATAAAACGATGACGTTGTATAGACATTACAAAAGAAAACTATTGGTCGTGAATATGTTCTTTTTAACGCTGTGCAGTACGCGGGAAATAGCTACTTGATGTTCAACTAGCTTTATTTTGGAGCCCGTTACAGGAAGTCGTTCTCTATCTGTGGTGTTTTATTTTAACTCGAGTGCTGTCAAAATTCGTAATCTTATTTGCAACTTGGACGAGACCACACCGCGTGTTGAGGTAAATTAAGACAAACGGTCACGTCCCATTAATTGATCACTTAAAAACTCAAAATGCTCTTTTTTAACTTGTTCTCTCCTTTGGTGTTTCTTTGGTTCGTTTCTTTTTGTCTCGTTTAGCTAGCTGGTAACGGAGCTAGTTTTATCTGAAGTAGTCACTGATGTTTAAAACATTTTATTATTACACTGCTTTTAATACGCAATTTTAATGACGCACATGAAATACATCTATATTTAAATCTTATTTATGTATCTTGTACTTGGTGACAAGGCGAATGATGTCACTGCGTCAATGTTTACTCACGGTGATATCTAAAGTAGACAAAAACTAGTTCCTACGCGATGGAAGAGTATTACAGCAAAATCGAAAAACTTTTTTTTTTTTTCAAATGCTAGGATTTTTGTCGGGGGGGGGGGTTTAATATATTTGAGGAATAAAAACATTGCTGTGTATTTAAAAAGTTTTATACTTTTGGGATTAAAAAAAGTTTAATTTTCGAAATTGAAGTAGTATTATTCACGAAAAGAAATGTGAAGTCCTCAGTTTTCACACAACTAGGATATTTTCAAGAATTTTGTTTATATGTTTGAGATTAAAGTCATGTTTTACATTAATAGATAAAAAAAAGTCAGTGGTTCAAAGAAAATAAAAATTTTCAGACCAATAGTCACAATATTAAAGGGAGAAAGAAGGCAGTTCAAGATTAAATTATATTACGAAGATTAATGTGCATTTTCAAGATTTATTAGTATTTTTTAAATGAATTGGTATGTTACATTAAAGTTAAAATATTTCAAGAATAAAATTGTATTTTTGGAAGAAGAATTTGCATACTTTTAAAAGTATTTTTTTAAGATTTTTTTTTTCCCGAAAAATATAATTTTTAAGGAATAACGTTGTATATTTTTTCCAAATCATAAATTATGAGAGTGGGCAGCACGGTGATCGGCTGGTTAGCACGTCCTCCTCACAGTGCAGAGGTGCACGGTTCGATTCCAGCTCCGGCCTTCCTGTGTGGAGTTTGAATGTTCTCCTCGTGTCGGTTTTCTCCGGGTACTCCGGTTTCCTCCCACATTCCAAAAAACATACATAGGAGGCTCTAAATTCAGATAAAAGTCAGATATTTTTGAGAAAAAAAAACAAGTCCTAATATTACAAGAGTACAGTTATACATGTTGGTTGAGAATAAAAAAAAAAGCTTATTTTTGAATTTACAGTCATGGGACTGGAACTTTCTTTCCTCAAAATCATGCATCAGTATTCTTGTAAAAGTACAACTTCAATCTCTTGTAATTATGATTTTTTTTTCAGGGTACAGTAGCTCCAAAACTCCTTTGTGCACATTTGCGATTTTTTACAGATTATTTTCGTTTTTCAAACACAGATTCTTCAGACGCTCCACATGACTCATTCCTCTAGCATGTTTCCTCAAGTCAACCACAGATTGAAAAGTCTGCCAGCCACTTGTGGTTTGGTCAAGGCATAGCCAACCCATTCATGTTTTTCCATTCCTGTCCCAATGTTTTTTTTTTATTTTAATGTGTATAAAAGCTGTTTAAAAAGTCACCCTTACCTGTCACCTTTTAAATGTTTACATCAGAGGAAAGCGCATTAGCATTGGCTCGAAAGCTATTCATGTTATATGAGAGGGGCACGTCTAGATGAATGTGATATGGGAAACATAACTGTATCTCGAACCTTTCATGATAGCACAAAGATGTTAATTTCATATTTTAAACTCAAAAGTCAGAAAAGACCACACGGGATGATCAAAAATCAAATGTTGTCCTCTGAATTTAGAATTTCGAAAACGTTTGTCAAACAATCCTACTAATTGCTCGTTAAAGTGAGTCTTAATCCGAACAGCATTTCACAGGCGATGCCGGGTAAATTTCATTTAAAGGAGATGACCTTGAATTCATTCAAAAAGGATGTTGGAAGTGTGCCTATAAAGAAAGAAAGAAGTGCTGAGCTAAGCTCCACTCAAAATGACATTTCAAGTATAAAAGAGGATTTGAAGGAATTACAGCCTGCTGCCCCCAACCCACCACCCCCTCACCCCCTACCAACCACTTACTCTGTGCCCTAAACACTCTTGAAATGTGCTCAAGGGTTCTTGTTTTCAGTTTTGGACAAGCCATTGTGCAGGGATAGAAACAATTGATGCAACATAAATCGGCACTATGGCAACAACTCCTCCGCCTCGAAGAGCAAAAACAAAGGCAACGAAGCCAACATGCTGCAATGGTGTCGTCATGTAAAACGAATGAATGAATTCTATCCGCGCAGGTGGCCGTCATGGGCGATTTATGACTTGATGGTTTATTTTATTTTATTATATATATATTTTTGTGTCTCTTAGCGGGCCTAACTTTGTGCTGTGGCTCGTCAGTCTTTGCTTTCTAATGTAATCCTCTGCCCTGTAACGCATTCATCATGACTTACTTGTGTTAAGTTGGTCTTTCGCACAAACTTCCTGTGCCGATATTTTGGGGCGCACGTATGTCACCGCAACTTCCTTTCGTCACATCTTCTGCTGCTCATTTCTGACATAAGTTACTTCCTTGCCCTCGTCGCTGTCTTAGCCATCCCCGCGTTAATAGTTGAAACGATTTGAACACGAAACAAATGGTAAGGTGAGGGGCATATATTGTGGCGTATTTTTCGGAGCACATTTTTTTGTAATATGCCTCGTTCTGAAAATGCGTGAGCGTCTCCGCCCATAACTAGGAAGCTTGGCTAGGTGAAAATGTACCATTTCCGAGCAACGCGCTGACCATAATGTTTGAAACACGATCAAAAGATAAGCATGAGATAGGACCCCCCCCCTCAAAACGGGCTAATGAATCAAGGGAATTTTATTGCCATGTATGAAGCAAAAATAATTGTTCAGATTACAAACAAATGTGTGCCGAATGGTTTGCTCGTCTGCCTCATAGGTGTGTCCTATGGCATATCAAACCTCCACTTTGTCTTTCGGTCAGTCATGTCTCGTCGGAGCTGTCGCCTGGCGTCCACAGGCTACTACAACTCGGATGATGAATCCGACTCGAGTAGCGTGACCAACATCTCATACCGAGAGAACCCAGTCAAGTGAGTGATAGTGGCGCAAAGTCTCTTTTTTTAAATTTTTATTTTTTATTGTGTTTCTAATTACCGGGTGCTTGTTTTGTTTTTTCCTCAGGGTTTTCAAGAAGAAAGTGGGAACGCGCAAGGCCGCCCCTCGTGCCTCCACCAGTTCCAGCAGCTTACAGTCGCCTTCCACCAAAGGTTCGTGTATGAAGTGAACATGTCGTCAGTCACCTATCTGCTTTGATAAAATTTAACCAATACGGAAGCATCTAAAAAAAAAAAAAAGCCAAACTGCTGTCCTAGTTAGACCACAGCGAAATTCATAATAATTAACCCATTTAATCCCAAATTTTTCCCAGACATTTAAAAGTGAAAATCAGGTGTCATTCGTAGCCCTTTTAAGTAATCAGTAATAAAAAAATTTAGAGCCCTGTAAATTAAATCATTGTTTTCCTTCACAAATGTGACCGTTGGGATTAAATGGGTTAAAGCCAACTGGGTATTTTATGACTACTCTGTTCTTTAATCCAGCCCTGCACACTGATACTTCATTTCCATTCTTCCTATTGGTTGTGTTCAACTTTGTAAATAGAAGAAATGTCCACACTGATCCCAGATTGACATTGAAAATCTCTTCCTCCAAGCCCGCAGACCTTCCCTTAGCACCCAAACAGACCTGACCATGGGAAGCGTGTCCTACGCCACGCCCAGGGCCACACCCCGACCCGCCCTGATCGCAGCGTCATCAACGACGAATCAGACCGCCACCCGCTCACCACCGCCGCCTCCAGAGAGGATTCGCAGCTCCGGCCAGGCTGTCGTCTACCTCCGATCGGAACACAAGGAGCAGGATAAGAACTGTGTAGACAGTTCCGGCTACTCCTCCTCTGAGGGCATCAACCTGAAACCTCCAACACCGACCACAACCACAAAATCCGGTGACAGCGCCAGCACCAGCACCAGCACCAGCACCAGCAAAGTTAAAAGTAACAGTGAGGCTCCCAGTGTCGGGTACAGACGGCGAATCAACAGCGCCCTCTCTGGTGTGAAGGGTTGGTACATGTGTTTGTTGGGTATTGTGCTGTGCATTTTACTTTGCTTACAAATAACAAAATAACACACTGGTATTCTGTTTTTTTTTGTTTTTTTTTTCCAGACTCGCTATCAACATGGACTACAAAGATAAACCATCTGAGCACTTTTGGTACGAAGTGTGTGTGCGTGTGCACGAGCGCCTGTGTGTCCTTTCTGAACTGAGCTTTCTGGAACATTTGGTACTCAATGTTTTTTTTAATGATATATCTAATTTAATATTGGGGATTTTTCTTATACAAAGAGCAAAGAATGCATGTCCAAAGTTTCATTTCACACTTAAAAAGAGACAATAAAATGTCATGTGTCTACTGCAAAGCAGGAATGGCCGACATAATACATGTCTGAGGTAAACATCATTCCTACTTGAATATAGCCTAAAACAGCTAGTTAAAAAAAAAATTGTAATCTGTCCACAGGTGGTCAAGTTTGCATACAGCCGCCAGTGCTCTTTCGATCGCTTTATCGAACCATTCGTGCCACTCAACACGCAGGTTGGATAGTCAGTTAACAGCCAGAGCAACACTCGCTGACTCATGTCACGCCTTTGAAGCCGTACTCTTTTTTTTTTTTTTTTTTTTTAAAGTTGCAAATAATGCAGAGTAGAATGGTGACGTTTTCAATCTTCTCGGAAGTCTCGATCAAAAAACAAAAACAAAAAAGTGGCTTCACACCAAAGTTAAAAGCATACACTTGTCCAAACTCTCTTGGTAAATTGACAAATTAAGATTCCGTGCATGTAGGAACTCTGCTGAATTGACTTTTCTTCTTCCCCTAGCAGCTAATCGATCCTTCCTCAGTGCCCAAACAAAGAAGACTTGCATTGTCCTCATGCTCCTCTCTGTCGTGGCGGCTTGTAAGTGACTCGCAGTCTCTTTGAAAGACGCAACGTAAACAGATAATCAGTCTGAAGCAGTACACGTTGTCATATGCACGCAACCATATTTCTTTACTCCTCCCCCTCTTCTCAGGTGTGTGGTTCCTCCCTCCCTTGTTACCCCCATTCTCCACCCTCACGGATTTCGTCAAGTCCCATTCGCAGACCTCCCAACTGACGCAGCACTCCGTTCGACCAACCTTGATGCCACCTCCACCCAGCAAGGTGCCAAACACAACAGCAACGGTACGCTTTTCTCCGTCTTGCCACCGAGAGATGTTTCTAATATTCCAACCGGCTCATCTAGCGATGACTGCACCTTGTTGTTGTAGCAAATCCGTGGTCTGCGCATTTATATGCTTTGGTCCACACGGTCCCAAAAAAATTGGTTGCGTGTGATTTGCGTTGTTGTAACGAAACTAATGAAATAGCTACAATCGGAAAAAAAAAAAACCTAAAATGAAAAAGCATTAAAAATCAAAGTGAAACTCCAGTTATTAAAAATTATCCTGAAAATATCCTTCATTTGCATCTTTGTCAATTAATTAGTTTTCATTTCAAAATGTATTTGTTTTGGTATTGCTACTGTATCTGCACAGCAAAAGCGAGGTCAAAACAGTCGTTTAAGAATTGTAGTTCACTTTATTACACAACACGTGAGCTGGAAATAATACTGAAACTACTTCTCTAAAAAGATTATTCAAACTAACTGAATTTAAAACAAAAACAGTCGGAACATAATTAATAACTTAGCTGTCATGAAAAACCTCAAACGATTCTAACCTTGCCGCAGAGGGGCCAGCTTGGACCACACACAAACAAAAGAACAAACAAAAAAACAATTTATTTTCCTAACCCAGGGATTTGAGCAAAATGGGTTGCCTTGACCCAAGGTTGGGTAAATTAATTTGATCCATCCGATTGTGTTGAAGATTGGATTTGGGTGCGCTGACAAAAATTTAATGTAACTTTCTTTGCAAGCATTTCGGCTGAATGACCCGAGTGGGTAACACTTCTGATTCAAATTCCGATCAGGGCGGACCACTCACAGAAAAATTGAGTTGTGTCGGGAAAGACATCCGGTGTAAAAACTATGCTGAATATATCATGCGAGTGACTTGGATGACCTCTGACAGAGCAAAGCTGCTGCTGCTTCTTCTAAGAAAATGTTGGTTATAAGTTTTTGTGTCATTTGTAACCACAGCTATACTGATAACCTGCTAACCCATTTCTTGGTACTCAACCCAATGCCCTGGGTATAAATAACCCAGCATTGGCTTGGTCCCTTTTGGGTTTAGCTATTTAACCCAATTTTGCTTATTTTGACCCCAGCACTTTTTAAGAGTTCACAAACAGGGGTGGATGAGGAAATCTATATCACATGCACCCTGGGGTCATGTGGATGCGGGAAGCCTGAATCGGCCTTCAGAGACGTCCAAATAATCTGGCATTAAGGATTTTGGAAAGGAGAATTAGGGTCAAATTAGGCCGGATTATCCCTCTGCATGTATGCCGCTCAAAATAAGAGACCAGTAATGATCAATTCCATTCCAGTTTATAATTACGCAATTTTATGGGATCTTATTCCACTCTGCAGGACTCCGTCAAACTGCCTTCTGATATAGAAGCCAAGGTGCACAATATTTGGGTAAGAAGCAGATCCTCTATTACAAAAAAAAAAAAATATCAATGTTTAGTGAAGGATGTCTGGAATGACTGTTTTTTTATGCTCTTGCAGGAGGCTCTCCAGCAGAAGCAGGAGCTCCTCAACAAGGTCAGATGATAACTTTGCACAAACTTCTTCTGAATTACATCAAAAGGTCTACATACCCTTCTTCAAATGCCTGTTGATTCCTATGGTGATTAAAAAAAAACAACAACAAAAACAGAAATTATTTCACAATTTCAGAAAAATTAATGAACAATGTAACCAGTACAAGTCAAGTGATTTTTCTTTTTGAGGGAGTAAGTAAAAAAAACAACAACAAAAAAAAAAAAACTGAAAATATGTAATTATATAATAGCCACTTGTGTGAGTTCTGAATGGACCAAATTCAAACGTATCTTAGTCAGTACACATCTGCCACCATTTAAATTGTCTCTTATGAACCCCCCAAATAAAGTTCAGATGTTCTAGTTGGCTTTTCCTGACAGACATTTTTGTTTTGCTTCCAAGCAGAACATTGCTATTTGGTACTGGGTCAAGATGTATGGAATTGTAAAACAGTTCCAAATGGCAATCGTTGTGAGCACAAAAGCATCAGATTTCTGCAATGTCCACAAAACCGGACCAGAACATCTGAATTTTGAACGGAGCGAATCAGAAGCACTTTAAATTCTGGGTTTTTAACATGCGACGGGTTGACTTCGAACACAAGAACCGCATTATTTTAGTTGTTCATTTGTACTTCCTGTAAAGATTTTTTTGAATTCTCAATTGAGTCGTGCGTGTTCAAAGTCACATTAATGGTGGATTTTTTTAATTTTTTTATTTTTTTAAATTATTGATCTTGGCTCTTTATTTATAAAAACACAAAAAAATGCATCTGAACAGGGGTGCGGAGACATCTTCGATCCACCGTAAAGTGAGTTCTGCACCTGGCATGAAGTGGAATGAATTCTCTTGTTTGCCCCCGTTTCAGATGAGGGAGCAGTTTGAGAACAACATGCAGAATATGCGGGACTACGTCAAGTCGGTGGAATCCAACAGTGCGAAAAATCTGGACCACGAGGTCACCTTATTGGGCAAAAAGATCAGCGATCAGGAACAGGATTTTCAGTCCCTGTCGGGCCTCAACGGCAGAATGAAAGATTTAGAGACCCAAATTGCTGAGGTAATGGAAGTGTTCGGGAACTACTGCAAACGTTGATCGCATGCTGTGTTTTAACACAAGCAGCATTGTGATTGCAGTTGTCGATCGAGTTGCAGTCCATCCAATCACAACCTCCCGCGAGACCGATTCCTGACATCTCTGCTCCAAATGAGCTCACGCCAGAGCTCCAACAGGCCATGGAGAAGTGGCTCACTGACCACATCCAGGTAGGGGACTGGCCAAACCACTCTAAAGTTTCGACACGTTTGACGTCTCATATGCTTATTGCACAGGCGCAGAAGGCGGTAAACCTACAGGATAAAGGAGTCGTCGCCCCAGGGTGCGCACAGCCTTTGGCTAACAAAATGGCTGACTTTGCACTAGAGACTCAAGGTAGGACTCCATACACCAAGAGTGCCCAACCAGTCGATCGCAGTCGACCGCTAGCCTGGGCACCGGTCCCAAAAGTCAACTTCAAGGACTGGTGGCTAAAACCTTAAAGACTTTCATCATTTATATTTTATGAGCAATTTGGCATGTGTGCTTGCATCTATTCATATTATCAATGTTACTGTAACTGCTATACAGTCATGAATTGTGACTTTGCAGAGCAACTGTAGTCGGGCGACTAAACTGGGAAAAGTCCCATGTTAGATTAGACATGACTGGAATAAAACACATTTATTAGGGTGTTTTCTAATACGTTACCAGCATCATCGTCTCTCTCTCTCTCTCTCTCTCTCTCTCTCTCTCTCTCTCTCTCTCTCTCTCTCTCTCTCTCTGTCTCTCTCTCTCTGTCTCTCTCTCTCTCTCCATCCCATGTCCAGGTGCCAGCGTGATTGGCACCCGCTGTTCTGAAACATATCACACCCGCTCAGCCTGTCTGAGCTTGTTTGGATTCCCCTTGTGGTACCCGACAGAGAGCCCCCGCACTGTCATTCAGGTAATCATCTTCCCCTGCTCCTCGTCTTGTTTATTTTATTTTATTTTATTTTATTTGTCTGAGGGTATCCTTTAACCTTCATCACCCCCTCCACCCCGCTCAGGGAGATCCAATGCTGCTTCCAGGCAAATGTTGGGCCTTTCACGGTGCCCACGGGACTCTGGTCATCGCCCTGTCTCACCCCATAAGGATAACCCATGTGACGCTGGACCACGTGCCGCGTCATATCACCCCCACCGACCGAATCGACTCTGCACCCAAGGACTTTGAGGTCTATGTAAGTCACCCAAAAACATTGCTTTATTACACCATTGTCGCTAGTTTTACAAGATATTAACTGCTGCTGATTTTTTTTTTTTTTTTTGTAATGAGTTGAGAGCACAGGATGGTGGAAGTGTAGTTAACTCACTTAACAATTAGCAGTGATTCCGAAAATAGTGAAAAATTATTTCCAAAAATAGGCTTCCAGCTCTGCTGGGTTAACGGCAATGCTAAATAACATCTATTATTGGGGCGCTATAACCCTTTATGCAATGGATTAAACACAAATGATGCAGCAACACGCGTAGACAGGCAATTTAACAGCATTCACAGTCATGTATTGTATCGTCCGCAAAGAAAAACTAATATTAGTGTCATACTGATGAGCTGCAAGAAGTCTGGTCACAAAATAGTCTCATACGGCTTCACAAGCCCACCTTTGACAAATATTGAAGACATCCCCTGATTTTAACCCCACTGGTGGCCAAGGCAGGCACACAAAAAAAGAGCAACACGATGGTCATTCAAGGTGAAAATTGTGCATCGGTCACGACAAGACAGTAGTTAAACCTTTCATGCATAGTAGTCACTACAGTGGACAAACGCTGTTTCCACTAAAAAAAACAACAATACTTGCCAATAAGTAGTCACTATACTCATCACTAATAGGTGGTGGGCGGAGCTACACTGTACTCCACATTGTTTTGACACGGATTGTTTCCCGGTTCAAAACTGCCAAAGTGGACCTCACCCATTAGTATATATGACTTTTTTTTTTTTACCTTTGCTCCCAGGGTTTGAAGGATGAGGTGGAAGAAGGAACAATGCTGGGAACATTCAGATACAACGAGGACGGCGAACCCACGCAGACGTTTGAGCTGCCCGTGAGTTTCTTTTCCCTTTTTCATCTTCAGTGGGTCATAACATTAACTTTTGATTATAAATTCGAAGCAGACGTGAGGCTTGCCTCTTTGCATACCCATTAAAACATTTTTTGGGGCCCGACGCAGTCCAGCGACGTGATCTACCGCGTGGTGGAGCTGCGCGTCCTCAGCAACTGGGGTCACATGGAGTACACGTGCCTCTACCGCTTCAGAGTGCACGGGACTTTGGCAACGGCGACATGATGGCGGCACACGCGAATCAACCGCCGGATGAAAGTGGTGAGTTCCACCACTCCCGCCGCTTAAGGCTGCACTGACCCTTCTTTAAATAGCGCCGCTGTCTGACGAAAAGTGTGAAATTTGCGTCAATACATAACAAAACTGGTTTTCAAGTTCAGTTTAGTCGCCTTTAATGTCGTTGGAGGATGTAAAGAACATCAGATCAAAATTATACACACTTGCTCAAAAACTTGCTTTTGTCCTTATATAATACTTGAATTTTTTTTTTCCATCTTAGCGTCACGTTGATCAATGTTGCCTGTCCTTCTGCGACCTTTTAAAAAGCACTTGAATTTTCTATGAAGGCAAAGTCAGGAAAGATGACAATGTATTTCATGTGAGAGAATATATTTTAGCCAACTCATGCCTTTGTCACAGTATTGTCACATAGATATTTATCAATGATGTACAGGATGGAGTGTTAGGGGCAAAAAAAAACAAAAAAAAAACATGACAACGTGATGAGATTAAAGTCAGCCCCCCCCCCCCAAAAATCAACAAAAACATTTCATTGCATACAATTTTTTTAAATTATATGTATTTTTTTAGGAAAAATGTGATCGGACAAGAATCACGACATAAAATATAATTCATGAAAGGTCACGTTTTTCCTTTTTTTTCTTCTTAGTAAATTGTGCATTTTTTTTTTTGTCATGATACTACATGATACTATTTATTCAATCACATTCTGAGCTGTTTGACGTAAAACGATTAGTTTGACCCTTTTGGTCTCTTTATGGTACGCTTTTTTTGTAATGTAATTTTATTGTTTTAAATATCCTTTTTTTAAAAAATGTAAGTTACGCCTTAATTCAATTCCCCTTAAAACTAAAAGTGTTTCATCAAGATATTTCTGTTTTTTGCACTATTATGGGCTTATCCCAGCTGACTTTGAGTGGCAGGCGAGGGTACTGCCAGGACTGGTTGCCAGTCAATCACAGAGCTTTTGTTAATTTAAAAAAAATGACAAATAATTGTAAAAATTAACCGTCACTGTCGAGGCGAGGGTACTGCCAGGACTGGTTGCCAGTCAATAACAGAGCTTTTGTTAATTTAAAAAATATATACAAATAGTTGTAAAAATGAACCGTCACTGTCAGGCAGAAAGTTACGATGTCAATGGTCAATTTAATATTTTTTTTTCACAAATCAGTCACCACATGAGTCTTATTTATTTATTGGTTTATTTTCCCAAAAAATATTCAAAAGTGTTGGTAATGGCTCACTCTCTGCAATGTGTTTCAGCTGTTGTTTTTTTTTTGGATGTCAATGGTCAATTTAATATTTTTTTTTAACAAATCAGTCACCACATGGGTCTTATTTATTTATTGGTTTATTTTCCCAAAAATTATTCAAAAGTGTTGGTAATGGCTCACTCTCTTTGACACTGCAGTGTGTTTCAGCTGTTATTTTTTTTTTTTTTTTTAAAATAACTTTTTTTTCAGTATTTTTAGATTTTTTTCATAA